TCATTCGGGTCTTCTCTTTCTCTTCGTGCAAGTGCTTCATGTCGTTTCTTTTGGACAGGTGGTTTTGTTTGTGTCCTTGCACTTTGAAGTAGCTAAGTGTTGGATTGTGTACTCCGTTGGGTAACAAGGGTGAAAAACTGTACTCTTGATCTTTAGTCTTCGAGCAGATGCTCCATGTCATTTATTTTAGTTGCTTTTCTTGTAATGATGAGGTGAAGATTTGGATCTTCTCTCTTGCTTTGACAGTAGATGTCTCCATGTTGTCTCCTTCGGGTAGATGGTGTTTACCTGTATCATTTCCCCTTAGAGCAACTGAGTATTGGTGAATGCTTCATCAGGTGTCAAGGGTGGTAAACTATGCCATCTAGGCCTCTAGCTTGGTGTAGATGCTTCCTGCTGTTGTTGCTTGTCCCATGGTAGTGTGATCTTTATTCGTAGCTTGTTGATGAGGGAGTATGCTCTGAGCTCAGCCTCTCCAGGCTGGATTGATATTTGAGGCTTCAGCCGGTCCAATCCGAGTCGAGTACTAGTTTTGGAGGTTTAACAACCCTTTTCGAACTTGTACCAGTTTTGAGGGTCCAACAACCTTTACTGATCTTGTACTAGTTTTGAGGGCCTAGCAACCTTTACTGCTCTTGTACTAGTTTTAAGGGTCTACCAACCTTTACTACTCCTGTACTAGTTTTGAGGGTCTAGTAACCTTTTCTGCCCTTATACTAGTTTTAGGGTCTAGCAACCTTTACTGATCTTGTTCTTAAGGAACTCAACAGTGTCCTCTCATTGGTGTTATGGGATGCCTCTCAAGTTGACAAGCAGGGGAATGTCTGAGATGCCCCCCGTTTTGGGCTAGGGCTAACGGGATGTTTGATGCCCCGTTAGGTGAGTATTGTAACGCCTTCTCCAGGCGCCTTCATTGGAGAATGAGATGGGTGGCAGGGATTATGATGTTATTCCCGCCGTGTGAGTATTGTGATGCCTCTCTAGGTGTCTTCCTTGAGGTAGGAGTATTTTTCTAAATTTTGTTTTCTTGGCTTCGACCTTTTCATGCTTTGAAGGTCGCCTCTTTTTTTTTAAGCTTTACCTTTTTCTATTTTGTCTTTTTTTGTCATCATTGATTTGTTTATCGGTGAATGTCTAATGGATATTGACAGTATCGCAAAAGATTCCCAAGAGATTTTAAGACGACTAATGTCTGTGTGAAACATGCCTCATTAACGCCCAAATTTGTACTTTTCTTTTCTTTTTTTTCTTTTTCTTCTTCTTTTTTTTTTTACAAAAGGTACATATTAGATTCTAATAAGGCTTATTTCAACAGAAATAGCAAAATAAGAGCCCAAGTATAATATTTTTAAAATCGATTTGGGCCTTTCTTTAAAGCGCAGATATTGTCGTATATTAGAGCATTCACTTTTCTTAACTTTTTATACATGTTGTTACCTAATCCTTCCTTAACTAATAAAAAAACATGAATGAAAATTAATGAGTTAATCTAAAATGCATGTCATTTTCATCATTTTTTTTTCCTAAACTTTATCATGTTTTTATTATCTAAGAGGAGATGATGCATGGTAAAGATAGGGATTTTTATTTATTTCTTTTAAAATAAGAAACTACCTATATGATGTTAATGGAACGATGACCTAAGAATGTACAAAAGGATATAAATTTCATTATTTTTTATTTTTTTTTATTTTTTTTATTTCTTTATTTCTTTATTATCTATTTGTTTGTTTTAAAATTCCAATTCACTCTTATTGAAACAAAATAATACAAACAAATACACACACACATGCTCAATCAACGTACACCCATGAACGATCACGTTCAAATTCATGGTCTAAGGTCCCTGTCAAAGAAAATGCTTTGTATAGGAATGATCTAATTTTCCTCACTAGTCTTTAAAGGCTCCCAAGGTGCCCCCCATTATAGGGACCCAGTACCTCTATTGTCGTCACCTGAAAAACTCTAAGGTATGTCGTAGTATTTCAGGCTAAAGTAACTGGTTATCACCTTGAGTGTGAATTTTGACAAGGCTTGCAAGCTCTAAGGCCATCCTTGGGTCGGTCGTACGTCAACCACTCCCTATGTTTACGCTGTCATGTCCTCCGGTATAGAAGGAACTGTTGTGTGCAAGGGTTTATGTACAGTTGTTATTTCAAACAAATGCGAAATTTAAACAAACAAAAGATATCGAAGCTACTCTAAAACAGATAAGCATATATTTGCGAAAAAGCTAAAAGATAAGAAAAAAGAAAACAAGATAAATGTAAAGATAAAGATAAAGATAAAAGATAAATATAAAAGATAAGGCTAAAAGATAAAGATAAATAAGATTAAGATAAGTATTTACAAACAAAATGAAAAGGGAAAAGATATTTAAACTATTATTCTTATAATGCTAACTTCATCATTTATTTGGGCCTGACCCTCTTTAGGCATCCCCAGTGGATTCGCCATCTGTCATGACCCAAAAAATTTTGATCTTACGACTAATGGTTTGGACTACCTTTTTGAAAAATCTCATTAATTAAGGAATGTCCGGATACTAGACTAATCCTCAAAGAATGGTTTTGAAAAATGAGTTCATGGAGTCGCCACCAATGTTTTACTCAAAACATTGAAAAAAGAAAAGATTTTGAAATTAAAATAGAGGTCTTCATAGCCAAAATTGGGTTCGGGGGTCGGTTACGTTTAGGGAAGGTATTAGACACCCCTACAACGCCCTAAATTGGTACCCTTTGATGAAATTAGCATAATAATAAAAAAAATATTTTAAATATTTTATCTCCTTTTATTATTTAATATTATTTATATGACGAAAAATACTTATTATTTACATGATTATTTATTGGTATATAAGAATTATAAATAAAATAAATAAAATGATAAATAAAGAAATAAAATAAATAAATCAATAATATATTAAATAATAATAAATAAATAAATAAATAAAATAAAGGAAAAGAATTTAGAACCTCAAAAGCAAGCCTTTTATAAGGGAATCTTCCCAAATGCGTGCGGGGCGCGTTTTGGCAACCCTTCGCTCTACAAAATCCTCACTATCACTCAAAGGTTTTGGCAGCCCTTGGCCAGAGGGTTTCTTATATATCCAACTAGGAGACAAAATCATAAGAAAGTTATCCGATGTGGGACTAAATTTTATAAAAATACAATCTTTTCCTTGACACCATGCAGGCTTCTAGAGAACTCGTTAATCGTCGGATCATGCTGGTGAATTTATGGTATCCTCACAATATATTGATCTTCAATTTCAATGTTGGATCGTTGAAATTAGGTTTGTAGTGAGAGATACTATCATAACAAAAACGTTGTCTGGTACTAGATTCATATTTTCCAGCTACAATGCAAGGCCTCTAGAGAAATCATTAATCGTTGGATCATGCTAAAAATTTGATGATATCTTCTTAATACATTGATCTTTAACTTCAATGGTCGGATAATGAAAATTAGGTCTTTAAAGAGAGAGATATTATGAGAACAAAAACGCTGCCCAACACAATTTTCTAAAAAGGGGAATAGGTCATTCCAGTTTCGTAACGGGTCGTTCCAACATTGGGAACGACCCGTTCCAATTTGAGAACGGCCGTTTCGCCCACTAGATCAGTTTTTTTGAGTTTTCTGGGCCTTCCAGAGCCATCTTGGCCCGTTTAGGTGCTCTATTGGGCCCTTAGGGGTTATACTTGCTATTTTTTCCACCTGTAGTGCAAGGCTTTTAGAGAACTCGTTAACCGTTGGATCATGCTAGAATTTTGATGATATATTCTTAGTACATTGATATTTAATATCAACGGTTGGATCGTCAAAATTAGTTCTTTAACGATAGATATTATCCTAACAAAACTGTTGCCCAATGCGTTGAGCCCCTCAAGGGTTGTTTGTCTCACTCTAGTAGACATTTGTCCTTGGTTTGGGTACCCTGGACGAAATGCGGTGTCTACACTTATAGAATATTACTAACAACAATAGTAATAGTTACTATTGTCGAAAGGAGTTTTTCAAAATTAAAATTACTTAACTAATAATACAAGATAGATTAAATAGATTAACCATCTTATCTATTGAGAGTAAAATGTTAGAACTACTTGATTATATAACATTGATAAATGATTTTACTGCTCAAAAATCTAGAAAATTAATAACTAATAAATTTATTTAAAAATTTTGCTTAGGACTTAATATTTTTAGACACAACCCTATACTTAGATAATTACTTGAAGAAACAAGTCAAAGAACACTTAGGTTGAGTTAGAAGTCACTTTAAAAGAATATTTGTATCTTTATAAAAGATAATAAAACTTGATTGGGTTCATTAAGAATTGAACATAGTCTTGGTAGTGAAAACGAACACATAAAAATATTATGTGTTCTTCTTACTTATCTCTTTATGAACACTTAAATAGTCATGTTACTACTTCGTTATTTGAAAGAGTGTGAATTTTTATTAAAACTATTCAACCTCTTTCTAGTATATTCTTTTCTCTATAGAAATGTTAAATATTTCATATCTATACATGATATTGAATGACTTATTTTGTAATTTTTTAATTTAAAGAATATATGAATGATGTATTCCATAAAAAAAATGAGAATAATTCTAGAAAAATACAAAAGTATTTAACTTAATTATTGTTACTTCATCTATATGTTTTTTTAATATGTTAACTAAACTTAATAAAAAAAATATATAAATATTTACTTCTTGAATAAATATTGAAGAAGCTAGAATTTGTCTTGAAGAACAATCATTATTTAACTGTCTTATTAACAAAAATTTATGATTACAAAGTGGTGTGATTATAGAAAATATATATTTTCTTTACTTTCATTTAATTTATTCACAATTACAATTATATAACGTGAAATATTTATGCTATATTTTAAAAATTATATATAAAAAAATTATAATATTAAAAAATAGTTTAATTTTAAAAAAGTACATATAGATTTTATATTTAAGCAAACAGCTTATGGTATAGGATATCCAAAACCCGAACGTGAAAAGGGCCTCCTATATAAACTCTCATTCTTCTCTCACTTTACAAAACTCAGAACATTCGCACACTACAAAATACAAAAATTTTCAGCTTCGTCGGTGCAGTTCCGTTTTCCCTTTTCTTCTTCTCCTTCTTGCCACCTTTCGCTTCCGATAAATGGTGCTGCGCGGTTCCGAGCAACAGAGAGGGGCCACTCCCAACCGATCCAACTCGCTCCACAATTTCCCCTTCTTGAAGTGGGGGAATCAGCGCAAGATGAGGTGCGCCACCGCCACCGCCACCGTCACCGCTGCCTGGGATCACCGCTCTT